GGTCCTTGCGAGGACGGCCCCGGCCCCTTTTAGGACCCGGGGAAGGCTTGGGGCCACTTCCTTCAGGGTACTTGCGAGGACGACCTCTCTTCCTTTTCTCTCCTGTAGCTGGATCAGGGATAGCAGCCTGCGGAGACGATGACATTAGTTCCCGTTATTTGGATATGCACGTAATGGGTCGCGTCCTTGCTCGGGATTCTTTTTCCCTTATCCCATCAAACGGAGAGTTGTCTTGTGTTACGAAGGGAAGGGGAAAATCCAATGCGGAAACCAGGAATGGGGCGTCAGTGAGCCGCGGTCGCGAATTGCCTTTGATGATGGGCCATCGCATGACGCGCCTCACGTCGGACCTGTCGATCACCGGAAAACAGGAAAGAGGAAAAGATAATCCGCGATACACGTCGGGCATACGCACTCGTTTTGGGGAATTGCTTTCTTCGGCCGCAGGTGCACCTTCGGACTTGCGCTTCTTGACTGGCATTGTTGTCATGGGGAGAGAAGTCTGCGTGATAAAAGGGTGGGAGGTGAGGGGGTGTGAGGAGAAATCAAAAATAGAAAATCAAAACAAAAGGCAGATTCGATAAGAGAGAGAGAGAGACAAGGTAAGCCAACCAGTCAAAAGACAGGAGGCGGGGAGGGGAGATGAGGGAGACAGCGATCCAGACGCGCCTAAGGGAACGACAGTCAATCCTATGTTAGTGTTAGTGTTGGTGTTGGTATCGGTCCGCTGTCGGTCGCGATCGAATCATTATCTCAGAGAATCAACCTGGAGGGAAAGAAAAATTCGGGGGGGAATGAGGGTCCTTCTCACCTACGGAGAAACCTGAAAACCTAGGCAGGGACCACTGACATGAGTTGAAGCTTTGTTTTTGCGCCTGGGGGGACGGGGACAAGCTCGACTGGGCTGGACGCGAGCCGGCGCGCCAGTGGACCCGAGCCGATCATGGTCACGTGGTGTCAGCGTGAAGGATACTCCACAGTTTCCATCGGTGTGCTATCCGATATATCTGTGTAGTTTTCTACGTGATGGTTTTACCGGAACCCAGGCAGAGAGGAAATTTCATTCCAATCCTAATGAACAAGATTACATATCTCTTGAATAGTACCCAAGCAATGTCATATATATGATATATCTGAACAGATGAATATATACCGACGGATAGATTATCTAAGCCTGGGAATATTGGATCAAACGCTATGGCATCACCTCGGACGGATAGTCCGTTGAACGAAAATTTCCGGATGCAACCGTCGGGGAGGAAGAGCTCATCTCCGACTGGCGGGACTGGAACATTTCTCGCATGCAGCTCTGAGCTGTCAGTGTCGAGCTATCCTTTGAATTTGACCGATCGTGTTTGAACAGCGCATGTATGTACCAGAATTGATTTTCATAGAACGAGAAGCAAAAACAAAAAAAAGATTGAAAATCTACATATACGATACTATGTATACACCGGAGGAGACTCGGATGAACTAGCAACAACTTTACGGGTCAGATCATCGGCGATTGCGCCGGGATACTTCCAGAGTAGATCCCCCGTTCTCCACCTCCGCTTGCATTAACTTTCCCTTCGCAACACTTACTAACCATTGAGTCACTTGCGCTCGTGGGGCACTAATCGACGCCTTATGAATGATCATGACTTTGGCTTGTTCTTGCTCCTTTGTAACTGGGAGGATATTTATTGTCTTACACTTCCCCACATGCGCTGGATAGATCTAGGCTGAAGACCCAGCCGTCAGTACTACGGTCTAGAGAAGCCAAGATGCATACCGTACCCAATCAGCAGTCAGATCCGACCTCAGATGGCGTTCAAGCACTGGAATACAATAGGGAACATGGTGATCAAGAGGGGCAGCAACATAAAGACCAAAGAAGCTACACACTAGATTCGGACCAAGATGTTGAATATCTCTATCTCACCTTTGACACAACCTTGCCACACCCCGTGGGCATCTCTTCCCCGCAGCCGGGTCAAGCGTCTCCACCACCATGCCCCAATCTCACAAAGTACGCTTCACCCTTCTTATGGGCCGAATCCCGCAAGACCGTCGTCACGATTATCTCTTGCTGCGTAACAGCTATGTCGGCTTACGCTGCGGGATCGTATACCCCACCAGCTGATGAGTTGACGGCCAAGTGGAATGTGAGCAGGGTTGTATACAACCTGGGAATTTCTCTATATACCCTAGGCTTCGCTATCGCTCCGATGGTGTTGGCACCCTTCTCGGAAATTAATGGGAGGCGACCTATCTTTGTGTCTAGCGGCCTTGTTTTTACCGGTCAGCTCCCTTAGCTCCGCAGCTTGACCTATGGAGGAACCAAACTAATACTTTGGCTGATAGTGTGTTTGATCGGATGCGGTGCCACGGAATCTTTTGCTGGCATGCTTGTGGCAAGGTTTTTTCTTGGTGTTGGCGGATGTAAGTTACCCTGCTTTGTACTCCTCCTGCTGTACTACAGTTCAGATTGACGCTGGTTATCCCCTGTAGCTACCTTTTCGACCATGGTAGGCGGCGTCATTAGTGATATATATCATGCTGAACACCGCAATGTCCCCATGTCGTGCTTCTCAGGCGCAGTTCTCTTTGGGACGGGCTTGGGGCCACTCATTCCTGGTTTCATAGATTACCATGCCAATTGGCGCTGGATCCACTACTCCCAAGCCATTGCTTCTGCAGTCTTAATGATTGTCCTCTTTGTCTTTCTCAACGAAACTCGGGGGAGCGTGCTTTTAAGCCGAAAAGCTAAAGCCCTCAATAAGTACTACGACGCACTGGAAAGTGCAGGCTATGTTGGCGTTGTGTTTTGCTCAGACAACGACATCAAGGGAAAACAACAACCCAGACGCATACGGTGGAAGGTAAAAAGCGATGAAGAGCGGGAGAGTATAACCAGGATGATCACCATATCCTGCGTTAGGCCGTTCCGTAAGTGGGAGACGTTCCTCCTGGTAATATCACCATGAAGCATAGCTGACCAACCTATTAAGACCTCCTGTTCACAGAACCCGTGGTTTTCTTCTTTTCACTTTGGGTCTCGTTTAGCTGGGCGGTCCTGTATCTCCAGTTCATTGCGATTCCAATCGTCTTTTCGACCAACTACCATTTCAATGTGGAACAGACCGGGGCAGTCTTTGCAGCGGTATCTATCGGTGCACTGCTGGCTACCCCGTTGAGCATCTACCAGGAGAAGTTTGCGATGCGGGTTGGCAAGATGTCGAGCACTCCAGAAGGACGTTTGTATTTCACATGCGTTGAGTCAATTTTGCTGCCTATTGGTTTATTCTGGTTTGGATGGACATCGTTTTCCTCGGTCCCGTGGATCGTGCCGACAATTGCAGTGGGATGTTCCACAATAGGCATTTTCTCCATCTACTTGGCCGCCTTCAACTACCTTGCTGATACTTATCATCGATACGCCAGTTCAGCGATTGCTGCGCAGTCATTCTGTTCGTCTCGCTTGTACCCCCGATAGGAACTCGGTGATGCTGACGGGCCTTCAGGTCGAAATGTTATGGGTGCCATATTCCCGCTGGTTACCAATGCGATGTTCAACAACCTGGGCTATCCAGCGGCCTCCAGCCTTCTTGGGGGGATTGTAAGCAAGACATTTCTCTATCCCGTGACTCAGACTAACACCAACAGGGCGTTCTTCTGACAATCGTGCCCTGGGTCCTCGTATTCTATGGACCTCAAATCCGTGCCAGAAGTAAATTTGCAAGTGTATGAGGCCAGAATGTCCATCTTCATCGGCGTATCGCTAAACAATCTCTAGGAAATCATGAATCAACATTAGGGCCCTCGGAAACCTGGCTAGGTTCGCTAACACGACATGTCATTGAGATCAAGATCTCAAAAAATGTTGGCTTCGCTCGACAGCATTAATCGTTTTCCAATCCATGATGAACAAACGCCATGAAGACAACTACCGTTGTATATAAGACCACTCTGATAAGGACATAGCCCTAGTAGTACAGAGCAGGGTGGGTCCTCGATCAATCTAGGTTTAATTACCGAGCCTTTAAAGTGCCGGTCAGGGGTCCCTCGGGATTCACAAATAGTACTACATAGTACATCATAAAGAAGGAGCGTCCACTTCATCTCGGGTTCCTATTTATGAGTACTGGTGCACCATCTTGGCTTATCACTTGCGCAGTTATCGGGCATATGACGGGAGGTGATGTGCAAAATGGCGCCATCTTCAACCGTGTCCATTGGCCCTTGTGATTGGCATTGTCGGCCGAACTATTCTTTTCTTGTCAGTAGTCGGCCGATAAACCCAAGTAGATGGACGTAAGCCAAGGAGGGGTATTCAAAGCTTTTAAAAAGAAGGGGGACTTGAAAGATACTGATTGATCATTTGGCACAGCGTATTGGATTTGAGGCATCAAATGTCTGGAAGGTACTCCGTACAGTGTAGAGGTATGGAAGTCCGGGGACGGTCCCAACTCCCACCCTTTTATCACATTTGGATTGAGCCTCTGAAATGTTCCGTCGACGGGAGGGTTTCTCTGCCAGTCCAGACAGATCATTGGTTCCTATATACTAACTTTTATCACTAGTACTATATAGTCACAGAATCCGATATCTTCATGAACCGCGGCCTCAAGGTTGTTGACTGCATCGTGGGGCACTTCCGAAAAGGGATGCGCTAAACAGCCCACCAGAGAATGAGCTCATGGCTGGCCAATGGGGATCGTTCTGCCCCGCGGGCGGTGGTCAATTGCGTGATTTGGAGGAGGAACAGCGACGAGACGGTCATTCGCCGAACAACCTCTGGAGGGGAAGATCTGGAGGGGTCGAGAAGCTGAAGGGCTGGGGGTACCTTAGGCTGTCAGTAGTATCTAGTACTAGTAGTTAGTAGTACCGTAGTACAGAGTACAGAGGAACGCGAGTCTGGGTCCCGGAAAAGGTACATCCATTCACCCAGTACTTCCCCCCGCCGCCAAAACTATTTCAAGGTCCTCCTTCCCCCCTCCATTCTCCATCTACTTTCGCATCTCTTCATCATCCTCACCATCTAGCCCCTCTTTCATCCTTACTTGGATACCTCCTTTACTCGTCGCAATGGCTCAGGAACGTGCTACTCCGTAAGTACCCTTACTATTATCATTCATTCTCGATCCTCCTGGAATGACTTCAGGAGTCAGGACCGTCAACATAGAACTCAGTCGGAGACTGACATGGCAATTGACTCTAGCATTCGTCTCGGCTCTACTGCCCCTAACTTCCAGGCTGACTCCTCCAACGGCCCCATCTCCTTCCACGACTACATTGGCAACAGCTGGGCTATCCTCTTCTCTCACCCGGATGACTTCACCCCCATCTGCACCACCGAGCTGGGCGCTTTCGCCAAGCTCGAGCCCGAATTCACTGCCCGTGGAGTCAAGCTGATCGGTCTGAGCGCCAACGGCACCGAGTCTCACAAGCTCTGGATCAAGGACATCGATGAGGTCACCGGCTCCAAGCTCTCCTTCCCCATCATTGCCGACCCCGAGCGCAAGGTCGCCTATGCCTATGACATGGTTGACTACCAGGACACCACCAACGTTGACTCCAAGGGTATGTTGTAGTGTTCACAACTTGGATGGCACTTGGAGTTGCTAAACAGGCATTGCAGGTCTCGCTCTGACCATCCGCTCCGTCTTCATCATCGACCCCAACAAGAAGATCCGTCTGATCATGTCTTACCCTGCCTCTACCGGCCGTAACACCGCCGAGGTTCTCCGTGTTGTCGATGCTCTTCAGACCACTGACAAGCACGGTGTCACCACCCCCATCAACTGGCTCCCCGGTGATGATGTTGTCATCCCCCCTCCTGTCTCCACTGAGGATGCTCAGAAGAAGTTCGGTGAAATCCGCCAGGTCAAGCCGTGAGTATTTCCCTTCCAACTAAGCGGGGGATTGGTACTAATCTTGTTGACTAGTTACCTGCGTTTCACCAACCTCAACAAGAAGGAGTAAATTATGACGCAGTCTTCCATTCAACCGTTTCCCGCTAGCTGTTCCCAGGAGGAATAACCAGTTCTGACGTGGTTATGGTTGGGAGCTTTCTCATGAAAAAGAGTATGACAGTCACGGCTTAGCATCTCTAATAATATGATACCTCTTACGACAGCATTTGAACATTTTGCTACGAGCCCAGCGTAGAAGCTCCCTAAGGAGCGAGTGCAATAATAGACCACCCGTAAGAGCCTAGGGTTTGTGTACCCCTTGCAGGAAGTGTGGGCAGGGTGACCAATGTTCCTGCGTAGGGGACATGGACACTCCACTGTCCTTACGCCAGATATATTGATCTATAGACAAAATAGGTGGTGTTAAGTTTGCGCCCCACGGGGCGAGAATGAGGGAAGAACCATTCTGCAATCGATGTCATCCTGCATAAGACTGCATGAGGAACCCATCAATCAAAAGACGAGATAGGACTATACAAAGCGAACCGCTGAGTAAATATAGTAACACTGCCTGGAAACAGTCACACCTGTCTACCTCGAGTCGGTGAGGTAAATGACCACTCGTATATATCCCATCCATTCATCCATCCCTACTCCTACACACATGCGATACTTTACGATTGCCTTTGCCCGGGCTGAGTGCTGTGGCCATTGATTGGGCGCGGTTCAAGTCTTGCGGGAATGTGGACGGGCGACGTGCTCTTCTTTGTTCAACCTCTCTGTCGTTCACCTTCTGTCTGACTGAACGATGAGGTAGAGCGAAGATATCCGTCTGATCTCTTGTCAGATCTTAGCGCGTCTGGTCTACCAGATATCCTCCGGGCGCCGAGCCTCTTCGCGATTATAAGCGACCTGGAGAGGAGAAGCAGGAAGACAGGTTATTCTTATTCTCACACCATCATCAGTGCAACAAAATCAGGTCGTATGTGAAGAGACCACGGCTTCAAATACCCTGTCAACACATCCCCTGTTTTGGGGCGAAAGTAGAAACCAGCATCAAGTCCAACAAAAAGCCATGTATGGAAATGATAGCTAGTGGGGTCGGGATACGGCTGAATGAGTGCGTGAGTGAGTCTGTGTTGGCACCAAGACTGCCCATATCGGTCCTCCGTCGCTAAGTGTTTCCAATTGTTCTTCATGCTTCTAGTGTCGCCTGTCAAAAAGATTGACTTTCAACGTTGGGAGCGATAAATCTAAATCGCTGAGTCAAGCTCCACTTTCGCAGTGTGCCTGGAGCCACTTTTTTCTCGGAGACCGCCTTGAAACCCGCACTTTCTCCGTTCACCTTGTCTCTCTGCACCGTTCGAAAACAACACCTTCCCTGCATATACGGCGGATTCACTGGGAGGACCCCTCTTGCAGCCAACCCGAAAAGCGTCCACAAGCCGAGGCTTGATTTGGATCCTTCGCGACGGAGCGTCTGGGTTGGTAGCCGCGGGGAAAACGAATCCACCGTTGGTCCCATCACACCTCCCGCCCGGCCCCTGATCTGAGCAAAACGATCGCGACGATTACGATTTACACCTTCGATCTACCCTTCGCCTGCCTTGGGCCCAGACGGTCATTTGAGCGACAATTCTTTGCTTCCTACTTTGTTTGCAGTTTACGAGTGTTATGATACCCTGTCCGTTTTGACACCTGACCTTGTTCTGACAAGTTCGAATATTGGATGACAAACATTCTACTTTCGACGTCGATTCGACTTTTCGTAGGCCGTCAAATTTGAGCGAAATCAATCTACAACACGATAGGCATTGAGATACATCTACCGTACCAGTGAAAATCGACCACTATCACGATGATGTCTCGGAGTCAGTCGAGTCTGGGATACCTGGACTCGAATCGGGAGGATCTTGCAGGTTCCGGTGTCTCTCCTGGACAACAACAACAGCCGTCTTCAGCATCGGGTCCCATAAATTTGTCAGGTCTGGTGTGCAATGTTCGTCGGACAACCGGAAGAGAACCGCATCCGTTGGTAGGTGCGACTACAACTATATTAGGCGATAAGCTTTACGTGTTTGGCGGTCGTGTTCTCTCAAAGAGCCGCCCACAATTGACGTCCGACATATATGAGTTGGACCTGATTCGGCGTCACTGGACAAAGATCGATGCCACTGGTGATATCCCCCGTCCGCGATATTTTCACAGTGTCTGTGCTCTTGGAGACAACAAGCTGGTGTGTTATGGTGGTATGTCACCCAAGGATACCACACCCAATGGCTCTACGGGACAAGAGACGCAGCCAGAGGTGGTGGTGATGTCTGATATACATATATTCGATGTGCCTTCGCGAACATGGACTCGAGTTCCTGCTACTGACACGCCCGAGGGACGATATGCCCATTGTGCGACAATTTTGCCTTCCAGTGCTCACTTTACGTCGGCCACTGCGCCTCTTTCGGCTATCCATCACAACCCCGCATCGTCAAATCCTCACCAGGGCTCAATCGGTGTAGACATCGATGGTTCTGGTGGCGCAGAAATGGTGGTGGTGGGAGGGCAGGACAGCTTGAATCATTATATTGAGCAGATCAGCGTGTTCAACCTTCGCAGTCTGAAGTGGACCAACACAAGTCCCCTAGGAAGATGTTGCGGCGCTTATCGTAGTGTGGTTGCTCCATTGGACGGTATAAACGTCTCGGACATTGGGTCCGCTTCAATCGATAAAGAAGCACATGAGCCCGTGGAGGAGTCGCAAGTAGAGGGATGCCCGATGCTGATCTATTCGAACTACAACTTCCTAGATGTTAAACTAGAGCTTCAGCTGCGCTTACCAGACGGTCGCTTGGTTGAGAAGCCGATGCAGAGCCAAGCATCGCCCCCCGGCTTGAGGTTCCCCAGCGGCGGCGTTATCAACGGACACTTTGTGGTCAGTGGCACGTATCTGACCTCCTCCAAGCAGGAATACGCCCTGTGGGCACTGGACCTGAAGACGCTCACCTGGGGCCGTATCGATGCCGGTGGGACCGTCTTCGGTCAGGGAAGCTGGAATCGCGGAATACTGTGGGCGAGAAGGAACACCTTTGTGATTCTCGGCCATCGGAAGCGTAGTCTAGTTGAGGATTACAACCACCGACGACTCAATTTCTCGCATGTATGCATGGTCGAGTTGGAAGCATTTGGGCTCTACAATAACCCGTGCAGAACCGCTCCAACGTCCGGATACATCTCTCATAGCTCCCCTGCAGTCCCTGCATCTCTCCACCCTAAGCTGGCTAAATTAACATCGGGTGGAAGACCATTCTCATCCGCCTCTGACGAGCTGGGAAGACTCGCCCAATCTCTCCCCGAGATGACGGATATGGAGCTTCAAGCGGTGGGAGGCGAGCGCATTCCGGTCAACTCACGCATCTTGACTAGAAGATGGGGCCCGTACTTTATCCAACTTCTACGGGAATCCTCTGACAATGGGGTCTCCGACTCTGCCACACTGCGCCCAGCGCTCCAGATGTATCCAAACCGTAACTCCAGCATCACAATTACCCCGTCAATTGGCCCGAACAGCACCTACTCCAACGCCACCACTCTCGTCAGCAATCATTCAAACCCCTCCAAGTCACTGTTAGCGAATCTTGAGATACCCTCTGCCCATAGTTTACCTCCCACCTCTAGACCCCGTGTGCTGTACCTGCCCCATACCTACCTCACCCTCCAGGTTCTCGTCTACTACTTCTACACGTCTTCCCTCCCACCCGCGGGTTCCGCCCTCTGCACGCCCCAAATTCTCTGCTCCCTTCTCCAGCTTGCGCGACCGTACCAAGTGGACGGTCTCCTGGAAGCCACCGTCGAACGACTACACCAAGCCCTTGACGGACGCAACGCTGCCGCCGTTTTCAATGCCGCCGCCATGGCCGCAGGTGGCGGCAGAGGCACCGGATTCACCAGCGGACCAGGAGGCACGCTGGAAGCCCTGAACGGCGTGCACGGCAGCACCGACTCGGCCGCCGGCACAGGAACAGATACATCAAACAGTCACCTCACGTCAGACTCCTCAGACACGGAGCACGGCACATCCGGCGTCTCCGTCGCAAGCAGCACCAGCGCCGCCGCCGCCAGCGGCTCCAGAGGCATCCCCCTCCGCATCAACACCAACATCTTCAGCCGTCGCCAGCGCCACACGACCAACCTCGAACGCGACCGCGACGACTCCATCAGCAACGCCAGCACGGCCACCTCTGCCTCCACAAACACCAGCTTCGACCACTCCGACACCGACGACGCCGCCCATTCCCATCACCGTCGCAACACAGACGCCGAGCTCCGCCCCAACCGCGAGATCTGGACCGGCGACCTCAGCAGCGTCATCGGCCTACAAAAGCGCGGCCTCCGCGGCCTCATGGAAGGTCGTCGACTGCGCGAACGCAGCGCCAAACCTGCGAGCACAAGCGGTCCCGTATCTATTCCTCCAGAAAACCCTCCCTCGGCAGGAACCGCTTGATACACATCGATACCAGGACACTATCTTCTGCGATGATTTTATTTTACCCCCTTTTTGCCTCCTTCCGGTTTCCCCCCGCTCCTATAGCGATGTTTCGGCTTCTGGCTTCATTTACCCCCTTACCTTGCCTGTCATGATCTCGATGAAAATTTAGAGGTTCTTGATTGAAATGTATAGAATTTTCGTTGTTTTTTTTTTTTACAGCACGTGAACGCTGGGATGTGTGATTCTGCGCATCGACAGGGTTTTGTTTATAGTACACCCCCCATCGGTTAGGATTATTGAATAAGCTCAATACCAGTTGTTCAGGTAATGGAACCGCATTTGTCCAATCAATAGCTATACGTGGGTAATCTATGAGTTGAACTTGATTAGTCTAAGAATTTGCAGATCTGGTTGGCTGATGTGTTCATCAAAGCTTTCCCCACATGGATGTGCAGAGCTGATGATGCTGGCAGCGAAAATGATCACTTATAAAACTCTAGGATATTGCGTGACTCTGCGTGACACTGCTACCGGTCTCCAGATCTTCTCATATCTTCAGGCTTGTCTAGGACTGCTCCGCGCCTTTTCGAACTATTTGAAAACGATGCGACGCATACAGAAAATAATCAATCATTCATTACATTCCCAACATTACGCTGATCGTAGAGCAGTGCTTATGTTATTGCCGTTGTCGTAACATGTTTCGAGGGCTGGAGAGTACCCACGCCTCCCAGAGCAACCCCTGCTCGCGTCTCACACTCACTCCATTGTCCCCCAGGTCATCCACCGTGAGTGCTCTCAACCGCTCCAGAGTTGTCTCGGAAAATGAACGTCGGGTGCTTCCGCAGGGAGAGAAAGGCGGGTAATCCACAGTGAAACTGGTACGGTAAGGAGGTAGGGCGAGTGTAGGTTCGGGGACGACGGAGAGGACCGACGTGCTGGAAGTACTGGCATGGCCATTGGTATCTGGTGAGTCCGAGTCCAGATGGTCTGCGTAATCGATGTCTCGTAGATAAATACATTCTACTTGATCCATTTCGTCGTGCAGGACGGACAGGATATCCCGCCACCGGCCCCCATTGCGAAGGTAGACGTCAGCTAGTGCGATATCGCGTAGTTGTCTCCTGTGTCGGCGGATCAGGGAGATAACCTCTTCCGAATCTAGGCGCCAGCCTGAATGCTGAGAGTCCGGAGCCTTTTCCACTGTATGCGGTGGAAAATGAGTTCTAGCGAGAGATCGAGAGGTACATTGGCTCGAAAACCTAACTTTATTGACGTCAGGTTCTTTGCGGATAGAAAGAAGTCATGGAAGACGCTAGAGACAGATTTGATGCTGCTCGTCATGTCTTTGGAGGAATGAAATGTGACATCTAAGCTCGTTAATCGAGCGCCTAAGGTAGATAGCGTTAGTGAAGGTGTCTGCGCTAACTTCGCTGCGGACTCTGGGTTAATCTGAGGCCCGACGAAACGAATAGCACTGCAGTTTGACTCTAACAGAGAAGTCGCTAGGCTTGTGACAGCCCGCGTGCAAGCTGGCTCCCAGTCCAAATAAACGGTCTCTGCTGAAGATTGCTCACGTATATAATCTAGCAATTGCTCGTCCGCCCCGTCCTGTAACCGAAGCAGTTTAATTTGCTGGAGAGACGAGAACGCAGATATAGCGCGGCGCAAGAGTAGCATATCATGGCCCCCAGTGATGATGTATTCCTGGTCTTCACGCCGGCTCTTATGTACTTGTGAAATTGCCAGGTTCTGCGATTCTACCGCTTTCAAGACAGGGGACCAGTCTAGATACTTGTCAGCTTGGCTTTCGTGCAAGTGTGAACGAATTAGTAGAGACCGTACCGCTTCCTTGGTAAAAGGGTCGCACCATGTACGTGAAGGATCTGACATGGCAGGCCAGCTGCATGTCCAGAAGGTCCTCTAACCTCCGAAACCCATCTCGTGAAAAGCGAAGAACGAAACGGGGGAATTTCCATGGAGTGGCGATGCGCCTGAACCTTGTACACACCAGTCTGAATCGGTCCAAGTCAGACGTTTCGCCATGCGCATTGATGGAGCTGCCATTGGGCACGTCGGAAACGTGGCTGTTCGTCGGGGAGGTATCGGTAGAGGAAGGTTCCGATCCCAAGATAAATGAGAGGATGTGACTGATCAATTCGTCCGCAAGGTCGTCAATGCGCCGTGGTCTGTCCATGGCTTTTTTCTCAGCAGGGCAGCCGCGACTCCGGCTGCTTTGGCTACCTGCAACAACATGGAAGCCCGGCCTGGTCAAAGGGAATCGAGGAGGAAGGCGCACCTCATGGAAGGGTGCATGAACGAAAGTCGATTGATGGCGAACACTCTACGTAGTAAGAGAAGGAACGGGAAGTAGATCAGGCAAAAAAAAAGGAGTGAAAGGTAGCAAGGGCCTTAAAGGGGAAAAAGAAAAACCTACGTAGAGAGAGCAGGAAGGGGAAAAGAAAAAAGAAAAGAAAAGAAAAAGAAAGACCAGAGTAAAATGATACATCCCCTCTCCAGTCCCTAGAGAGACAACTCTCTATCAACTGCAGAGCAGGCGGGCCACCGAGACCGCGTTTGGAGCACGGAGGCATGTCTGACAAGATTTAGAGCGTCCCACATGGACCATACCTAACCCGGCCGACTGGGATCATCGTCAATATCGAACCCAAGGCATTTCCCCCGGGCCAACACCGATGCGATATTGGACACGAACTGACACACACCAGGGTCACATGATCGAAAGGGCATGCGGTTACCCAGCGTGAACCTGCAGGAAAGGGTACAAAGAAAGAGAAGGATTGGTGAATAGAGTGATCGTGGGCTAGGCCCAGGATGATGGAGGGGGGGAAGATGATGCGACATGAGAGTCAGATACCTGCAGACGAACCCCGCCTGGGAAGCGAATCGTGGCGCGGTGTAGCTGCAAGCCTAGATGACTGGCGCGAAGCCCATGGCCACACTACCCACGGACCTGCAGCACAACTCGAACGTCATGGAGCAGGTTGGCAGCCAACATGCAGAAAATCGACCGAAGTCACAACAATGGATTGCATGGCATGGCCTCACAGGCCACAATTACCGCGTGGGTGGGCGAATCTGCTGTGAGAGGGAAAGGATCAACATGCACTTAACATGCATCGTCGTCCAGTAGTCGCCGGCCCGGCTGCACAACCCCAAACATTGGGGGAAGATAAGATCTCCGGGGGAGCCTTTCTTTTCCAATAGCTTCAGAAACGACCAGCAGAACAACTCATCATCATAGAAAATAATAATAATAATTAAACAAGAAATTCAAGACAAGGGGGGGGGGGAAGGGGTGGGGAAAGTGAGGTATGCGAACAAACCCTCGGAGTTATTAGCACCACACACGCTATACATAACATGGATGGTTTAAAAAAAAAAAGGCGCTGGAAATGGTTTTACAGGAATCCGGATAGCCTCATTGGCGCCCTCGTCATTTGTCCGTCCCACGAGAAATGCGACGAGAGGATCAATCACCCCCAGGGAAGCGCAATTCGTTGGTTGACGTGGACTGGGGAACTCATGAAGTATGTATGTATGTATGTACAAATAATGTTGATGGGGCCCAATCCGCAAGTGTGCTTGCTTAGCAAGTGTGACCATGAAAAATGTCCGTGACGAATGACTGATGGCTGCATAGGTCGAGCTATGAAAAAGCAATTTCCCGTCTCCAGCCAATCGTTTAACGTGATTCCCTCTTGGCTTGTTCCATCCGCTGCCGTCTGATATCCGTGCTGCTGATTTTGGACGCAAAATCTTCGAAATCACTCGACGGCACGTCTTTGGAATGAAGCACGTCAATCTCAAACACATCGAGCCTCTTCCAACCCTTCTCTGCACGTTTGTCGTTGACCGCGGCACCTCCCGAGCGAGTCTCTTGGGAGACCACGATAGCGCTAATGTCCTCCTCCGTGATGGTAGGCCCAAAAGGATCGGAAATCTGCACAAGTTTCAGTGTCAATCCGGGCCGTACTTTCATCAGATTGTATTTTCCATTGGGTCCTGGCTGCGTGACCCGCTCGGTATGTGTGGCGCTTTTGTCGGGAGGGTAAAAGTCCATGATGGCCATCAGAAAGGATGCAGCTCCTTCACACCGCTCATCCCAGCTTTCCAGGCAGTCGGCGTACTTCTTGTTCACGAGTAGCTCATCGCCAGTCACGCCAATTGTCAGAAGCGCCTCTTTCCCCGGGTTGGCATCCCGAACGGGATCCAAGACCAACGCTAGGGCAGTGAGCAGTAGCTTGTGTCCAATATGAAAGTGATCGAAGGTGCCGCCTACAATAACTGAATGATGTGTCTTGCTTCCTCGTGAGTCGTCCGGCGCCACAATCGATTCCGAAGATGTCCAGTTGGAGGCGCCGGAAATGGAATGCAGATCCCCAGCATTGGGGTCCTTAAACTGGGAATAGATACTACTGAAGGCCGTTGCTAGATTCTGACCTACTTGATTATCCGGATAATAGATTCGGTCCCATGGACGAGCTGATGTCGCAAGGGTTTGCAAGTCTAGGATGGGTCCCATCTGCGAAGCCTGAGAGGAGTCCTTCCTGGAAGGATGTACGGTATCCAAATCAAGCAGAATGACTCGCGCATTGATACCACCAGGGGCATCCAGCTCAATACTGTTCTCAACGGAGACTATTCCAATGAGCCTATAGAGATTTGCTAACAAGCATTGGAGACTTTTGAACAACTTAGCCCGAGGCTGACGGGTATGTGATTGGAGTCCTGGAAGAAAGAGAGCAATATCCAAGATGGCAGCGTGGTTGGTACCATTGAGTTCAGCAAGCTTGGTGAAAACTGTAGATAGAAGCGACTCATACACATTTCTGCACTGCTCGAACGACGCCGCTGGTGGGGGTGGAAGCAGTAGCAATGCCGAGGCCGAGCTGATGCGATCTAGAGCCATACTGAATGCGGGGAGCTGTTTGGTATGACGAAGAAACACTGGGACGGGACAAGGAGGGCTATGCGGAAAATCAAAGTAGCAGTGTGAAGTTCAAAGTAGGGTACCGGGAGTGAGAATCTCCTGTTCCAGGCGATCTGGAGTGTAGGTAGTTGTTTTCTCGTCCTCCAGAGTCTGGGGGAGACGGAAATAACTAGTAGTCGGATTGATTGGCACTAAAGATCAAATCAATTAAATAAATGTATTGGGAAATCACACCCCCGCGGCCGGCTGACTCAGCGGTCCTGAGACATTCCAAGTCAATCAATCAATCGTGGATGAACGTTATCCCTTCTTATGCCCGTCGCCCGCTTCTTCCTTGCCTCTGTCCCTCTTCCAAAGCTCTAGGATGTTCTGCTGAGCTACCTCCAAGGCCATTTGTACCGAGTGATTCAGACAAGACCACGTATGCCCTTGGTGTAGCCAGAGCTCCTAGCTTACGCATCCCTCTCTCCCCGCCTCCAAGCCCCGTCGGATAACAACCGAAACACCTTCAACTGCAACCCCGGACGGTGGAAAACGATCGGAGGAATTGTGTTCGCAATTTCACTGTCAGGGACTGGCAGTCTATCGCTAGAAGGAGAAAATCCATTGCCGTTCCACATCGTGGCCTCGGTACCATGTCGAACCCATCGCAACCCTTCGAGCCCAATCGACGAGCGACCACTTATGGCCGGCCAGAGGAGCTGCACATTCCGTCTGGGGGTATGGGAGCTGCAAGCTTACAACGACAGTCCATGTCCCATGAATTCCCTACAGCCGCCGATAACCACGTTCCGTCCATCAATGTCCACCCCACGAGCTCCCAGCCCAGCCAATATGGGGCCGGCGGCAATAACACGGCTCTCCCAGGCGCGCTTCAGCCAGGAAACGCCAACCGCCCCCCAGCAGTGTCCATAAATACCGCCCCATCTGGCATTCCTACCCTTTCCCAATTGTCTACACAGTTGCAGCAGCAACCACCGCAGCCGCAGCCGCAACTCCAGCAACCACCGGCACAGCAGCCACAGCCGCCGCAGCAGCAACCTCCGACAACGCCCCGCTCCAACATGAGCAACGCTCATGGACACTCGAGATCCAGCCCGGCAAATGCTAGATACGGGTCATCGCCGGGTGCTGGGTTCCCACCTCATACTCCGCAAGGCGCGAAATACTCTCCTTTGGGACTGGCCGATATCCGGCCGACAGGCGATCTTCTTGGGGATCCTATCACCAGCCCCGGGTCACTGCCCTTCAATGGAGATAATCAAGTGCCGTCAAATAGCAACTATATTGCACCCTGGCCGATATATGCGGTGGATTGGTGTAAATGGCCCATTCCTGGAAACTCGGGCTCCTTTGGAGGCAAGATTGCGCTTGGAAGTTATTTAGAAGATAACCACAACTATGTGCGCCTCTCTTTCCCTCGTTTTCTCCTCCTACAGATGAAATTAACTTAGTTCAGATACAAATCATTGATACCCACTGGACTAAACCAGACCCAGATACACCGGATGCAGCAACTGGCGAGATTAAGCTGGAATATGTCAAAACGGCAGAGGCCACACATTCGTACCCTGTAACGCGGATACTCTGGGAACCGCCATCATCTCAAAAGCAGTCTACCGACCTCTTGGCGACCTCGGGTGACCATCTGCGGCTATGGTCTCTGCCTGCGAACCAGCCGGTGCAGACCTCCAATTCGATTACGCGATCGGCGACCCAAAGGGATACGCCTTCCGCTAAACTTTCTCCGTTGGCGTTACTCTCAAACTCAAAATCTCCCGAGCATACTGCCCCCATTACCTCGCTCGACTGGAACACGATATCTCCAAGCTTGATTATCACGTCCAGCATCGACACGACTTGCACCATCTGGGATATCCCTACACTCACCGCCAAGACGCAACTGATTGCACACGACAAAGAAGTGTATGATGTCCGATTCTGCGCAAATAGCGTCGATGTTTTTGTCAGTTGCGGTGCCGATGGCAGTGTGCGCATGTTTGATCTCCGCAGTCTAGAACACAGCACTATCATCTACGAACCGACGGAAAAGAGTGATAAATGTAGGTTTTATTCACAGTACCCTGTCCCTTTTCAAAGGCTAACAGGGATTCCGTCCACAGTAGTCAGTCCCGGGAATGGCAGCCCCTCGGCCCCTGCGTCCATCTGGCCTCCACCGCTTCTCCGAATCGCAGGTATGTGAGAGACAACCAACCTACCTGTCATAAAGCAACATCATCTGATACTAACGAAATCAGCATCACCTCATGACGCTCACCTTTTAGCTACGTTTTCTCAGGACTCCAACATTGTCCGGGTCCTAGACGTTCGCCAACCCGGCCAGGCCCTGTTAGAACTCAAGGGCCATGGCTCCTCCATCAACTGCGTGGAGTGGTCCCCGAACCGCCGTGGCGTGCTTGCCTCCGGTGCAGACGACTGCTGCGTTCTTCTATGGGACCTTATCAACCAGCACAACGCCGCGTCTGTCCCGCCTCCAGTGCACACCCCCGGTGCGCCCTCGACTACCCAGGAGCGTGGTCCTGCTGCCGCGTGGCAGTGTGATTACGAGGTCTCCAACATCAGCTGGTCACCGCAAGGCGGGACGACCGGCGCAGGGCATCCGCGGGATTGGTTAGGAGTGTGCGGTGGACGGGGAGTTTGGGGTGTTGCACTATGAAAGAATTGACGCATCTACTAGACGCTATTTTCCATGCCTACCAGTCAGCCATTTATCCTGTTGCATTGTTCCGTGTCTTATCCCGCCACGGCTGGCTTGCATCGTTCGACCATGGAAGCGACATGGTACGGTCTGATATATGAGTGAATGAATGAATGAACGATTGGACAGTAAGAGTATGTATGGATGTGTAATGTTTTTTCTTTGAAGTTTCTGCTTGGATAGGATAGCAGCCCCCCCAAGGACAGGTAAACAAAGGGGTATATGTAACTACTGCGGTCTAGTCTATTCCAGACAGATGGCATGATATATAACAGGGAATAAAGAATCAAAGACAGAACAAGTCATCAGAGACAATATATAAACATCATTATGCGCTCGCTAAAACAAATATCGAATAAAGCTCATGTCCGCGACAATCACACAGAACCTGGAGAAGCAATCACTCGCGACGGAAGTTTGCACTACCATTCTCCTGTCCCGTCGTCTTGACAATGACCTTATCCTCCACCCACCGGGCAAACTTGACGCTCGGAATATCCACCGCGCGCCAGTAGATATCACCAGCCCACAGACAGAGAGGGAGACAGATGAGCCAACCGATCAGGAAGCCCAGGCAGTACTGGAAATTGGAGTCCTTGCCAATCACCGCCCAGATATTGGGCATAAGGGAGTACCCGAGCGAGTGCAGGATAGGCCCATGCACGATGTAGAAGGCGAAGGAGATCTTGCCGAGGTACTGGGAGACGGGGTTTGTGAAGAGTTTCTGGATGTCTTTCGAATGGTTGATGCTGAAGACGATGAGAACTGCCCCGATGGTTTGTGGGAAACGGTGCGGCTCGGGATAGGTTTTTGGGGTGATGCTCCAGGTCCACATATAGAATGGGGTCCATCTGTAGCCGGTGTTGGGGGCCGAGCCGAAATAGAGACCGAGAATGAAAAGCGCAATCCATAGCTTGCGATTGGACAGTCGAAAAGGGTGGTACTTCGTTGGGAAACGGACGCTCCATGGCTTTTCACCTTCTGCCGGGCGCTCCCATGTGCCGTTGATCAGGTCCGCTTCGGCCATCAACATGCCGCTTAGGAAGAGAACGACATCCCAACGGCCCCAGCGCATACAGAACCAGACTAGTGTGCTGACCAGAGACATCCTGATGACAGTGGTTAAGCGAGAGGTGGCCAGGATGGTGAGGAATAGTACGATTGAGCAACGGAATTCCACGGGGATGGTCCATAGGTGTGGATTATAGTGATTGTAGTACAGAGCCCAATCCCATGGGTTCATCAGATGGACTACTGTGGAGTACCAGTTCCAGAACTGTTTGTGAAAGGACTTCATGATAGGCGGATGCTGCTCATTGGTTCCCTGAATCGTGTGGCCTTCGAACAGAACCTTCTGCGAATAGTCATATACACCCAATCGCACGGCCAGCATAACGATCAGGATGCCAATGATTGAGGGGATATAGAGTCGGAGGCCACGGCGGAATGTAGAGGAGGCCAGCACGGTGAACGTCTGTTCCCATGATCGACTGCGGATCATTCTCAAAGGTTTGTAGGAAAGTACATATCCGGAGATCACAAAGAAGATGGCCACCATGATATGGCCGGATACTAACATATGGAGGATGGGCAGCTGGAAGAGGTTGTAATTCTCACGGTTGAAACCCCATCCGACCGCAACTTTCCAGGTGTATGTGAAGAGGAAATGAAAGTTGAACACGAGAAGACAGGCCCAGCCGCGCAAACCGTCCAGCGCTGCGATGGCATGAAGTTTCGAGGGCTCGGGCGGTTGGCCGCCGACCAAATGCTGCAAATAACTCGGCGTAATGGCGATCGCAAGCTTGTCCAAAAATGATTCCAAATATGCTTGCCAATTGTTGGTGAAGTCCTGGACACGACTTGAGGGATCGGAAAGGATGTGCGACGGCGTGAAATCGGTGATATTCGTCCATTTCGTAGATTCTTGGGAGTCGCGATTGGCTCCCGACTCTAGATCATTCAGGGGAATGTTGTCTGTCGCGGGGGAGGATCGAAGATCCTGGTCCCGACCGTTAAATGACATCGCAACAACGGGTTGAGAGGAATGTGGTCGAGGCGCAATTCCCTCCCCACGAAGATTCTCAGGAGAGGTAATTCTCGATAGCAAATAATTCCCGATTAAATGCGGAAAGTGATTGCGTAACCATCAGTGGACCGCAAGCGGCAATCCAACGTGGCCTTGCGAGGGATCGACATCCACCGATCGAAGGTGAAATGGCAATGAGGTGATAGAGAAAAAGCCCTTACTTCGAGAGGAAGGGGGGGGTACAGTCGAAACAAGATTTGGCGGGGTGAACTACAGATCTGGATCGTATATAGATATAGATATAGATATAGATATCCACTTGTATAGAGGCCAAGAAATACTCAAAATCGGAAAGAAAGGCAGAACGGGACCAGAAAAGCGAAAAAGGAGCGATGGATCTGTAAATGAAGGAAGAGAAGCTCAGAAGAAGCAAACGCGAAAGAGAAAGATAAAGAGAAAAAGAAAAAAAAGAAAGAAAAAACAGGAGAGGAAAATAGTTGCCCTTAATTTAAGAACACATTGCGGGATTGAAAGAGGGTACTGTAATTTTATAGTCGTGAACCAGACTACACAGTATAAGAGATCCAGCACAATAGCAAATGATTTATAGGAATGGCGAATGACACCGAAAGTCGCATTGGAATTAAGAGATAAATGAATTATTTCGATTCTATCGAAGAATATAATCGTTTACATTCGATATACATTCTTCTGCTCTATGTATTATATTATATTATTTTATTTTATTTTTAATAATTTGTGAAGCTATAGCAGTTCATAGTCGAGGTGCCGTCCAATCACGACATCCGCATCCCGCGACTGAACCAAGTTCGGCTTATCTCCAACTATTCTTTTTCTCCTTCTCTTCTTTTTCTCTCTCCCTTTTACCTCCCCCGTCGCTCTCCGGCGTTCTCTGCAACAACCCCATCCGCTCGAGTCGATTCCATGTGGTGACACCATTTCCTCGCCCCTTACTCTTTTTTCTTGTCGAAGAGCCACCTCTACCCCGGTTAGTTCGGGGTGTTGTGGAAGGAGGTCGCAGCTCCCGAAGCTCCATCAAGCTACGTACGTTATATTCGTTATTGTACCACGAAGAATCCTTCCACCACCAAGATCGCGATCGACTCCACCAACAAAATCCCTTCGCCATCATGGATTTGCGCACGATTATGAACAACGATGCCTCGGGCACGTCGGATGCTCCACCAACTGCTCCTCCCCAGTCTCCGTCGCAAGTGTCGCGTAAGCCTTCGGATCCCATGTATGCTCCCCGCGACCAACAACGGACCTCCTCCTATCCATCTGCCTACTCGAGTCACCCCCCTCAGCCTCCACCCCTACAACGTCCTCATGCCTCCCCAGAACGTTCTTCTTCCTATGGATCGCTCCAATCGCCCTATCAATACCATCCTCCCTCCGCACAGGTTGCAGGCGCACAGTCTCAGCGCGGCCCGAGTCCTCCCCCCTATGGTTCCTCCGCCTCGCGTGACTCGTTCTCTACCTATGGCCATCCCCAGCAGCAGCCCCAGCAGCAGCAGTCGCCCTTCGCACAGCAGCGCTCGCAATCCATCCAGTCTGTCCTGACCCCCTCGTCCACCTCCACCTACTCATTTCATCCCAGGGAAAGCCCGCCAGCGGCTGCTTCACAGTCTTACCCGTCACAGCAATTCCCCCCTCCAGCCCAAGGTTCCGTACCCAATACACCGCGAGGTCTATTTCTGTTGCTGCATCCTATACCCGTCAAACGCCCCCATCGGCGCGCCCTCAATCCTCCGGCCATGAATCCTTATCAAATCGTGCCTCGAGCCCGTGGGTGGGTCCGGACGCTCAGGTTCATATGTCGCCAACGGCGATATCCCGTGTCTCACGACAGGATTCAAGGCCGCTAGAACAAACCCCGAGACAAAATTCTTCGGCGACCGACCGAAGGGACTCGGATGAGAGTGTTAGTCCGAAAACCGCTTTTCCTTCTGGGTCTCGGCAAGGGAGCACGGCCGGATACACCGACCTAGCGGCCTCTTCTCAACCGAAGCCCACCGAAAATGGTGTCTCCTTGAAGGAAAGCTCACCCAACCGCCAAACACCCCAACCTGCCCCAGCAGTCTCAAACTTTGACAGCTCACCGCCCGCTCGAAAGTCTCTGACAGACGATTCCTCTGCGATCGATCAAGTCCGCCCGTTGCCAACAAAGATGGACCTGACTCCAGACGCAAGGACCAACTCAAGTCCGCAAGCTCCCAGAGTGAAGAGGAGGCGTTATGAAGAACCGCCAATCTATGCCCGAAGATCGGTACGCACCAAAGGGAGGATTCCGATGATCCCGAACCGCTGTCCACCGATCCCGAAGCATGCGAGAAATTCAACGCAAAATCCTTTTCTGATGCGCCAACAAAACGTTTCCGCCCAGGCCTCCGCTGCAGATTCTCCGGCCAAACCCAAAAGCGAGACACCACCTGTTAATGGCCCTTCGGCCCCCCGGCGGCCTCCAGAGCCTGCGCAGGCAGGAAGCTTAGGACCGTGGGAACCCTCCATTTATGGGTACATCCCGCACGAGGAGGTCACAAAAGCGGTCTGCGATTTCTTGTTCCAACATGTGGTTATGAGGAACGACGCGTCTGCGGCTCCTGCTGGTACGGCAGGAACCGGTCAGGGAGCAATGATCGAGGTGGAAGCCAAACTGGGACAGCTCGTTGACATGGACAGGGGTGAGAGACTTCTCTTGCCCATTTCGACCGAAGGTATTGTGAATAAGGAAAACACCCGCTTGCGAACTGCGTTCGAGAGCACGATGACGTTAGTAAGTAAAAATTTTTCCCTGCCCTCATTCCCTAACCGGAGTCACTCACTTCAGTTGAGGCTTATTGAATAACCGATTGACCATTGAGTAGGCACAACATAGGGCAATGAATAACTTTCTGAACGAAGCCGTGAAGATGTCTATGCCGCAAGCTAACCCAGGACGCATTCCATTATCGTACGCACACAAGAAAGAGCGGGATACCTTTTACGAAATATCACCATCAGAGCTTCCTCCTGTCATTAGGCAGAATCTGAATCCTCGCCATAAACCCAAGGTGCGAGTAACTTTGGACCAACGAACGGGCGAGGTCCTCGCAAAGATCGTGAAATGCCGGATTGCCGACCTTGATGTCTACAGTCCTCGCACATGTGTCGATTGGCGAATTAGCGTCAACCTGGAAATGAGCTACGAAGGCGATGTCAGCCACCTCACCGTGGTAGATCCCGGTCGGGGACGCGGCGGAGAGCGAAACAAGGATCGTATGAGCTATCGACATCTGGCTTACCAGATCGACCTTACACAAGTGGCCAAATCAGAGGTAAGTCGCTTACATTCACCCGGTTTCACTGGATGGCCAGCTATCCACCAGTTGATTGGAGACACTTCTGACTTAATATGTGCTGTATAGCCACAATCCAAAGGTGAATTCGAACATGAACTCGAAGTTGAAATCTCCGCCGCTGAGATCCGCCGTCAGGGTCAGCTCGCCATGGCTGGCGACCCTAAGAACCAATACGAAGAGCTTGTTAAGGGATTTGTGGATAATATTCGCATCCTTGCACGAGCAGTGCCTCCGTAAATCTTTTTCATACCCCTGAAATTATTGTCGATTCGTGTTTACATCGCACACTACGCCGCCAAATGGTTTTCTTCCTTTTTTATTTTTTCTTGCCTCTCACGTAATATAGAAAGACGACGGCCCTGAAGATCCCAAAGAAGAACAAATGGATCTATGAGAGCTGCATATGGAAAACAAAAGTCAAGTTCACATGGTATATTCTCTGCCTGATTGATTTACTTTATACCTATATGTTTTAATAACCGTCAACCACATATATCCTTCTCATGGAAAGAGATGATGAATGATGCGTCACGCCCTTTCTTTTTCACTTTTTCGTTCTTTCCTTCTCCCTCCCCATCTTTCTTGATCTTCATCCAGCCGTTCAGATTCCATATGGATTTCTCATGGTTAGGAACACGTGTTTCACTTCTCTTCCCCCTTACCTACCCTTCTCTTGTGACACTATTACGATTTGTATAATATATATGAATACATTGCACTATATCAGACAGAGGGTTTATTAATATAGCTAGTGTGACTAAAGTGCGCAGCTAACTCAAAGGCCTGAATGTGATAGAGCAGTTGATATTTCAATATTTTCATGTCATGATACAATGAATGATACACTTCCATAGAACAAAGTTGACCAATTAACCATGCCCTGTATTGCTTTATAAGAAACAGAAAAGATATAAATGTAAGGATGAATAAGATACATGACTACGCCAGATTGCCCCTCCCCGCTTGAACTTTTCCCCTTTAGTTCTGCCCCGTAAGAAATGGCATTAAGGACTAGGCGTTCCCTCTTCGTACCGTGGTCCCGCATCATCGCCGTCTCCGCCCATCGCCGGGGTAAGGGCGTCATATGGACGACTGTCCCAGGCAGCGGGGGTAGGGGCATCGTACGGCTTCTTGG